AAAAAAAAAAAAAGGCAGCAACAGACTGTTCTTTATTTTATTTTATTGCATGAAACGTGTTCTGGTACGATTCACTGGGAGGATTAATGGGAATCGCGGAGCCCTAATTAGCTTGAAAAAAAATCAAAAAAAACCACCCAAAACCCAAAAAAAACCAATTTATGTGTTTATTTAAGCATAACCAAAACTAGCCCTCCCGAAAGGATGGGCATTATATCTTGGCTGTGCTGCCTATTTTTGCTCAGTATTTACACTGACCGTTGCTTATTATGAATTATGTCGAGGCTTTAACAATTTGCATTAAAGCACGGGGGAAGGAGGGGGGAGGCCGGGGGGACGACACCCTAAAGCATACTGCTATCGACTGTCTAGATACCTGCTTCTCTTAAATGATAAAATTATGGTTTATAGCAGGGAGGGAGGGGGATAGTGAATACTGTTTCTCACAAAATGCATAAACTAACACTGTGTGATTAATGTGCTTTGGTGACTTGGATTAAAAAACATAAATTCTGCAGGGTTTCTTTGGGTGTGATCCATATCAACACAGCAGTTGCCTCTTAAAACATTGACAAATACTGTAGCCATAAAATAAATGTAGGTAATGTCAAAGCATCAGCAGTCTTTGGGGGTTTTTCAAAAAAGATGTCAATGATTAACTCTTGGGCTTGCAAACTGGGAATCTTTTGATTCATAAAATCTCTGAGGCTTTAACTGTGGAATTATATGTGCTACCAAATATAAGGGGCATTGGTCAGTCGTGAAACTGTAACATGCCAAATCTGCCAATAGTCAATCATACTAAATAGTCAGAAAAAAAAAAAAAAAAGCCTCATGTTTTTTAAAAACAAACAATAGTACTCAAATTTACAACTTCATTTGGTTCTCCATAAATTAACATCTTTGTTAGCACTTTCTGACATCATTTTGTGTTAACTTAAGAACTGATAGCTCGATTTTTTTTCAGATATTTTGATGGCATGACAAATCAGAAAGAAGAGGATGTACTGTATGACTAGACACAAGATCAGTTCTGTTTGTGGATTACATTTTCAGTAAGATGTATGGATCTATTTTTTCCTTGTTCTTAAATATAGATCATGAGACTTGACTGAGGCAATATACATATCATCCATCCATCTATGGCGAACTACAGCCATGCAGCTGACAACATTTTACAAAATCTCTCTCCTTTAACAGCTTTTCTGAAACTGACTTCACTGGGTTTCATAATAGGAGTCAGTGTGGTGGGTAACCTTCTGATCTCCATTTTGCTAGTCAAAGATAAGACCTTGCATAGAGCTCCTTACTACTTCCTGTTGGATCTTTGCTGCTCAGATATCCTCAGATCTGCAATTTGTTTCCCTTTTGTTTTCACCTCGGTAAAAAATGGCTCTACGTGGACGTATGGGACTCTTACTTGCAAAGTGATTGCCTTTTTGGGGGTTTTGTCCTGCTTTCACACTGCTTTCATGTTATTCTGCATAAGCGTCACGAGATACTTAGCTATTGCCCACCACCGTTTTTATACGAAAAGACTGACCTTCTGGACTTGTTTGGCTGTTATCTGTATGGTGTGGACTCTCTCTGTAGCCATGGCTTTCCCCCCAGTTTTAGATGTGGGCACCTACTCATTCATTAGGGAGGAAGACCAATGCACTTTCCAGCATCGTTCCTTCAGGGCTAATGATTCCTTGGGATTTATGCTTCTTCTTGCCCTTATCCTCCTAGCCACACAGCTTGTCTACCTCAAGCTGATATTTTTTGTTCACGATCGCAGGAAAATGAAGCCAGTCCAGTTTGTTGCAGCAGTGAGCCAGAACTGGACTTTTCATGGTCCTGGAGCGAGTGGTCAAGCAGCTGCTAATTGGCTGGCTGGATTTGGAAGGGGTCCCACACCTCCAACCTTGTTGGGAATCAGGCAAAACGCGAACACCACAGGCAGGAGGAGGCTACTGGTTTTAGATGAATTCAAAATGGAGAAGAGAATCAGCAGAATGTTCTACATCATGACATTCCTCTTTCTGACCTTGTGGGGTCCCTATTTGGTAGCCTGTTACTGGAGAGTTTTTGCAAGAGGGCCTGTAGTACCTGGGGGATTTCTAACGGCCGCTGTCTGGATGAGTTTTGCCCAAGCTGGAATCAATCCTTTTGTCTGCATTTTCTCCAACAGGGAGCTGAGGCGCTGTTTCAGCACAACCCTTCTTTACTGCAGAAAATCCAGGTTACCAAGGGAACCTTACTGTGTTATATGAGGGAGCATCTGTAAATCTTTAGCCTTGTGAAACACTACCATTCTCTGCTAAGCAATTGTGGCCTGTAGCCATGTCTTGAGGAGAAAATCAAGAACGGGATGTCAGCAGCTGTAAGGATTTGGGCAACATTCTGCAGTCTTTGCAATAGCTCACCTCTAATCCTGTTTTAAACCTAAACATGTTCCTGCTGACCACTGCTGAAGGTTTGTAATTAAGAACAAAGGACTGAACTACTGCCCTGAATTCCTTTATGTGGTTGAAATCTAGATTATGAAAGTAGCAGGTGCTAAGTATCAGTGCTAAATGCTGTGTATATCACTACATAAAATAAGAACATCAAAAAGATTAGCATTGGACATCTTAATAAATTAAGTTGATATGAGGTTAATGTGTTGATAAAACTAATTTTAGACATCTGAAGACCTTTAAAACATTTCATACAATTATTATTTTGCAAAGACTGAAAACTGGGGACTCAAGTACTGTAACTGATTAAAGATGTGCCATGCATTATTGGATTATCACACTTACAAATCTGTTTGCCTTGTGAGTAAGTTTTGGGGAGCATTCCAAAGCAGTATTTTTGTTCAGATTTTGACTTTAAGTTTTTTTTCTCCAAATATATTACTCTTTCTAATTACCATTTTCCTTAACAGTGAAATTACTAACATTTAACTGTATTCTGTGTTTTTTGCTGATTTGGTATAAAGTTTAATAGACTCTTATTTATATTTTTTAAAAAGCTAGATATCAGTCTGTTAGGCAACGTTAATGATAATATCCAGTCATAATTGAACAGTTATAATTATACAGAATAAACACATGTTGCCTTAAAGGGTTATCTAGTATCTTCCATTTTGTTTAGCATTGAAGCAAATAAGCAAGGAAAATTGAATCAATAACTCTGGTCAGTCATTTGGGAGTGCATGAAAGATCACTTAGTCCTCTTTTTTCCTTTTTACTCCAATGGTTCCCAAAATCAATATGCACATCACTGGGATTATGTGATTTTTTTCCTAGGTGTGCCGCCCTTTCTAGTTTGTTCTGGGAGACACAGGCAGTTGATGTATGTTTATATTTTAAGACAGCTGTCATGGGGAGACCGCAGCCTTAGTATGATATCTTGCACAATTTGTGAAGCATTTATTCTACTGAAGGCACAGTCTTGTTTATATTTTCTGCACATTTTGGTGTATTGGTTGTTTTAAATTATTTAAGTTTTAACTTGTGAAAGCATATAATATGATTTCTTAGTATTTTAGAAATACATTAGAGTCTGTGAGTCTTTCCTTCTTTAAGATACAGATGTGTGGATTTCAATATAAAGTTGCATTTGCCAAAATTTACCTGTGTAGCTTGTTAATTTTCTTGGAATAAAATTTTACATTTTTCCAGTTATACAATTAACCTTTTTTATTTTGTCTAGTGAGCTAGCATGAAGTACTGAGAATGTAGCCATTATGAATTATTATCCTTTGCAGTCACTGTATTCCCAAACTGTAAATGCATGAATGATGGGGACCACAGGATTGATAAATTATATTATCTGCAGTAGCACTATTGTGTAGTTTATCATAATTACCCATCTATCTGTTCTAATATGTCAGTTATATTTAAAGTTACAACACAGTATTTGACATTAACTTCACAGTTTAATTTTGGAAATGTGTATAACTGAAGCACAAAATCATGGGTTGATCAGTCATAAAGAACACAGATTTTTCTTAATTTTGGGATAGACAAGACTAGAGGTCTTAATTCAGTATTTGTATATCTTGTCCTTTGTTGTAGTTTTATGACCAGCAAGTTAATGTCTACGTACACAAGCAGCAGTCAATAATGGAAATGCTTAAATTTGTATGATAGCATTATACAACATATGCAACAATTCAGACAGTTGTGTCTATATGTGATCAGACAACTTGATCAAAGATTTGGTGAGCAATCTGTTTGACCTCACTTACACTTTCATACTGAGGTTGATCGGTTGAGAGGCATGGCTTTATATACTGTGTTGAAACAGAAAAATTGCTAAAATAATGAGTCCTCATCAGTATAGGAATGTTTCAGAACGTGATTTTAAATGGGACCAATAAACTTCTACCAAAAGGACATTTTTATTACACTGAAAAAGGCTTTGAAATTAAGGTAGTTAAGCAATTGTCAAAGATAGCAGGAGTGAATAAAAACTGAATCGTATGTTGAGAAAAGTTCTGAAAGTCATCCCACTTAAGTTTATTAAAAGGTTGATTGGCAATAACTTCAGTCTAATTTCTTTCAAATAGTAACCTTTACAAGGAACATTGATATTACATATTGTAATGAAAAACTACATGTAAATAAAGTTGTAAATATTATATAGTTGTAGAAGTAGTCAGTTCTGAGGATTAGCCAGAAAAATTTCGACTATGAAATTTCAAAAGCTGCAAATCTGGGGCCTGACCTAACTCTTAATAAAGTCAGTTGGTGTTTTCCCATTAACTTCATTTGGAGCAGAAGCAGGCCCTAGCATTTCTATAGTACTATACTTCTGAAATACTAAGAAGGCTGTGTTTACTATGCAGTGGGAAAAGAAAAAAAAAATTAAATTATTTCCCTGGAAGTTTTGCAAGCAGCAACTGATGTAAATTAAAATAATAAACAGTAAACAAGTCTGAAAGCAAATATTTTGATAAATGTTTTTCTTTTGATATGAATATAATTCCTTTGGCTATATGACAATACTGTATTGCTATCTGAGAAAGGGCAGGTTCTTTTTATTAAGTGGATTTTTAGGATTGTGCCAGTAAGAAATCTTGTGACAGAAGTATTTAGTTTTATTTTTCTCCAGCGTTAAAAGGACAAGGGGATGTTCAGTGAAATTAAAAGCCAACATATAAAGTAACATTTTATGCAAAGTTATTACTCAGTGGAACACACTGGTACAGAATGTCAAGTAGTTTTAGAGACATTCCTACAAGAACTGTATGTATACATGAATTAAAGCAGCGCTTGCACTTTTTGCCATCAGTGTCATTTTGATCCTAGTCAGCATATCAAAAGTAATGTATTAAGGTATAAATTCAAAGGAGCAAAAAGGTTCATTCCAATTCAGTACACTGTTGTGTCACAGTATGAAAAGCCTTTTGCTTTCATTTTAGTACAGGAGTTAAGCTATTGCCAAAGCTAGAATACAGGGCTGGTAGATTAGTCCTTTTCAGAATAGCAAAGAGTATCACACTGTTTTATATCTGCATTGATCTTTAATGCTCATGGGTAATGTGAAGTCAATAGTTTTAATTTTCTGATGAGAGAGGAAAGAAAAGAACAGGTTCCCTAAAGAAAAGTCTGTCTACCCCTGTTCCTTTCCTTCCCTCTGTCGCCCTGCCGGCCCTTCAGCAGGTTCTCCCTCAATGCTTCTACAAGAGTAAATGTTTCATACACTGAGTACTGTATTTCTCCTGCTCCTTGAAAAGTGTCTCTGCCATTCCTCCTACCCAGCAGATAAGCTCCTGCAGCAGTTTCCCAGGGTCTGTCAGTGTCTGGGTTCCCTTCCTGAGGATGGAGATGGATTGCCCTTATCTTCCAGCTCAGCTTCCTTTGTAGTTCATGGATCTTAGGGCACTTGGCTAGCCCACAGAGTATCTTTGTCTTTTGGCTTTGCTCATGAAGTACATGCTGTTTATATTGTGCAGAGAAAAATGAGAATGGGGAGGGGGTAGCAGGAAACAACTTTCCCTTACACAAATTTTTCACAAGGAAACCACTATTTTTGTTGCACTGCCCAAGAGCATATAGTATTTTAAAAGCGTGTTCAGTGTTAATTACCCTCTAAGTAAATAAAATGTACAATTAGCCAGTTAAGTCAAGGCTTTTGGTACAGCTACAGTCTTATTATAAAATGGCTTTTTGTCAGTCTCTAGCCCTTGGGGCCAGAGGAGTCCACTCTGTCAGTCTGCTTTTAAGTGCGTTGTGTTTGTTCACTTGTTTTGCTTTTGCTTTGACTTTCTGCTTTTAAGTGCGTTGTGTTTGTTCACTTGTTTTGCTTTTGCTTTGACTTTCAAGCATCTCAACATATTATTTATATTATAAGAATCCAGTATTGCAGCAGGTTGTTATCACCCATGAGTTTAAAAACATAATATTAAAGGGAACTCTGATGATTTATGGGGTGAGTTAGGTATTTTGGCAAGTAATTGGTTTTTAGCAAATGTTAAATAAACCTGTGGGCTGCTGTGCTCTTCCATAGTTACGCAGTTACACAGTCAGTTCTTAATTGTTGAAACTAACAATGGAGTAGACTAACCCACATAAAGCTAACACATAGGTAATACAAAGCATGTCCACATTAGATAAGAGCTTCCTATGTGTATTACATTTATCAAGGAATGGAGTTAAACTCAAGTAAAAAGTGAGATCAGAAGTTCAAAGAAGAATGGTGGGTGTTTTTCCTTTTTTTCTGCTTTGTTTTAGCATAGCACTGCTAATCTGCAACCTGGGTTACACACCCACATACAACTGAGAGTTGCCTGTACAATTCTGCATAGCACATAGGCAACTTCCTTCTAGTTTATATTCATTGAGAGCTCTGTGAGTGCACACTACTAATCTGATTGACTTTTTAGAGAAAAAAGAAGGCTCAGTCTGAGATACTGTTCTGCAAAATTAAAATTCAATAGAACTCTGCTTTTGTATACTGAAGTGATACTGAGTGTGAAGAAATCAGTGATTTAAATCAGCAATGATCATAAGTATACTCTGGCCATAGCCATTAAAAATAGGACAAGATGACATTTTGCAATGCATATGCAACAAATCAAAGAGTTTGATATTATACATCAAGACTTTATGTGAGTGGGCTGAAAATAGTTCATATTTTACATTTAGAAAAAAGTATGGTGAAGCTATCCATTTAAATGGACAAACTCTTTAACTAGCCAGTGTGGAAAAAGAAGGGTGAACTTTAAAAATTGCTCATTATAAATAGTAAACAGTTTTGGTGGTGTTTTTGTTCAGCTGAACTGTGTAATTATATAACTATATGATGATCAAAGGAGTGTCACAGTGAATAAGTTAGATTTTTCTTTAGTAGTCTAGAAAGGAAATAACAACTATCTTCAGACATTTGAAATTAAGTAATTACAGTCATCTACATGTCTTATAGCATTTAGATAACAAAATAATGATTTACATTTTCTGTACTTATTGATTCATTTACTTAAAGAATAATGTCTTTAGACAATGAGTTGGATGATGCAACCAAATAATGGATTTCTTTGTATCACAGGTTTTGTACTATGATTTGTATGTAATAAGCACAAGACATAGAAAACCAGAATTTATCTGATATCAACTTCAAGCTCTGCATTAGGTACAAAACTTCTCCTAGTGTTAGGCAAATTACTGTCTCCAGATATTATTCAAAACTGTTCTGTGCTACTTCACAAGAATATTACTTCACCTTTGTTAAAGAGCAGTCTGGTTAAAGATGTGTATTTTGTTTCATTTCATGACCATCAAGTCCAGGCATGCTCATGTCCTTATGAGAATTGAAGAAATTGTTAAAAATACAAAGTTTCTTTGTATTTTTTTTTTGTATTTTTCTTTGTATTTTTTTTTATCAGATTCTTGAGATAGTATAAAAGGGTGGCACAGACACTCAATGACTATTCTAGGCAGAAGGTGGAAGGATGCAAAAAACTATTCATCCCTTTGTAGGAGCTGTTTAAAATCCTGCTGTTGTCCCACAGTAAAGCCACCTTTGTGGAACTGGCCCACCACAGGCCTGCAACCTACCTCATATTGATTTAAGCAGGACTTTGCTTGCAAATATTCTGAGTACTCATGGGAGAAATTCAGCATTAGCAGAGGTCAGATATTCAATATTCAGTAGACAGTATTCATAGGCTACAGACAAGTGATAGTTGCTTGTCTCCTCAAAACAGAAGTCAAAGAATAGACAAGGGCCAAGAGATAAATGCTTATTGTAAGATGCTTAGGATTTCATGCCCTCTTGGTGCCGTTAGAGGTGACTGAGAGGACTTGTTTCATTCTTGACTTTGCTTGGGGTTTTTTTGGTTTTTTGTTTATTTGTTTTGAAAATGCATGCCATCTCAGTTGCTCTATCCTATCCCACCCACTGCCAGTTGAATTTTTGATATCATACTTAATCAAGTCTATATATTCTTTAAAATACATATCTAATAGTAAAATGTATTTGTAGCTTTGGACTGATTATGCAGATATGTATCACTGTTTGTTCTTGCTCATTTCCATAAGTATTTCCTGTGTTTCAAACACACAAATCCTATTTTTGAAATTAAGGCACTCTACAGTCATGTGTTTCCTGATTTTTCTCTGAAGGCCTTTTAAGTTTTGGATGTTTCTCCTGTTTGGTCCAAAATACTAAATGCAGAT